CCCTGTCAACCACACCTGGAACGACCATGATATCACACGCCATACGCTGTCGAATGTATGGCGCCCCTTGCAGCCGCAATCGCAGAACAAACTGCGAGGTAATACGCATGCCCAATATCGAATGTCGCGACGCGCCTCTGACAGACAGTTCCAAAGAACAAGCAGCAGGGAGTCATTCTTGCTGAACGGGGCTTCGTCTCCCCAAATCCCAACTGGCACGATATCATCAGCTGCGCAGCGGGCACCCACGCGGGACGCCCAGTTCTCGCGAGACCTTTCAAGTGAAGGGTTGGCGAGCACAGCCCAGCCCGCTGGATCTTCACATTGCGACTCGAACACCTCATGAGGGAGAAGGAAAACTACACTGTCTTCGTATTTAGTCCGCGTGTCAGAGTCCCACAGGCTGATCTTGGCTTCGTAAACCTCTGGGAAAGAAGTTCCCTTCCGAAATTCTCGAATGACTCGTCGGTGTGCGTTGCCACGCTGCCCTGACTCCGCGGGCCCTCCAGCTAGAGCTCGCATCTCTTCTACATCGGGTGCTGATAGGTGGCCCTGCTTGAACTTCCTCATAGCAAAACCGTCGATCCGATGAGATACTAGCTGGGCGTCTGGGTTGAGATCATCGCCGCGAGCTCGCTTTGCCTCTGTCCCACCAGCATCGAGGCCCAAGGATTTGCGAATGCCGCCTCCCAGGCGCGCCATCAGAAGCAACGAGGAAATATGGACGAAATACCGCATATGTAGATCGTAAATGCAGGTTTGAGCCCAAACGGCTACGCTGTCAATGGTGGTGATGCTATGGCTTATATGTTCAGACCCTGTTGATAGTTTAAACTGCGTTAGGGGATGTATGATTTGGGGCGAGGTTTACAGATATGTTGATGTTTCCCAGGGCTCCCCTATCGTATGTTTAGAGGTCGTGCGTGTGTGTGTGTGTGTGAGTGTGTGTGCGTGTGCGTGTGCGTGTTTGTGTGTGTGTGTATTTGTCCAGCGCTCAAAGGCCCAGGGGGCCAACATTCGAATGGTTCCGATCCGTGCACGTGAGGATGCAGTGAGAAGCTGCCCAGCCCTGTGAGTACAGTCCACATCGGCTAAACAATGGCACCATCACTAGGAACAACGGCCGCGGAATGAAGCGGCCAAGTCGGTAGAATTGAAAATCACTTCGCCTTCAGCTTCGCAAAATCAGCCAGGACGTTTTTCTTGAAAAACTTATTGGCTGTATCAACCCTCGCCATTTCATCCTTCATCTCAGTGGCCTTCGCCGTGTACTCACTCACCTCGGTCATCGTCTCGCCCTTCAGCGTAGACCACATCTCGAAGAGAGCAGTCGCCAGGCTCTTCTGCTCAGCTGTCTTGGCCTGGAGGTACTTCAAAGGCCCGTCCCCCCAGCTGTCCCCCATCTTCGTGCTGATGCGGTTCTCGATGATGGTGACCTCGCCGAGCTCGCGATTCATCTTGTCGTACTGGGCCTTCGCCTCCTTGAGCACCTTGGCAAACGCCTGGGAGGCCTCGCTCAGCTCCTTCGCTTGCTTGTCCTTGGCGATCTCCTCGGGGCTCTTCTCGGCGTTCCCTGTGGGCGGGACACCCTCGTCCGTCTTGGCCTTCTTGGCTCGCTTAGGCCGCTGCATGACGGGGACGGCCTCGGAGGAGAAGTTCTGCATCATGGAACGCACGTCCTCGACCTCTTCGGGCTTCAAGAAAAAAAAAAAAAATCAAAAAAAACAAAAGATTAAACAAGCAAAAAAACAAAAACAAAAAAAAAAAAAAAAAAAACAAAAAAAACAAAAGTCAAAAAAAAAACAAAAAAAAAAAAAATAAAAACAAAAATCACACAATAAAACAAAAAAAAAAAAAAAAAAAAAAAAAAAAAAAACAAGCTCGGCGGTGGTCGTGATGTCGGTGGTCTCCGTCCGTTTTTTCTGGAACTCGTCCTGCTCGATCGTCACGTAGTACTGCTTGATGTCTTTGGCAGCCAGGATCGGGCTTTCGTGGGGCCTCTCGGTGAACTCTCCCGCCTCGCATCGAGCTTTGGCGTGCTCCATGTGGTTGATGCCTTTGGGCCCGCCGTACTCGTCGATAGTCATCCATTGGCCGACCGTCTTCTCCTTGCGAGAAACCTCGCGGGACACGGTGTTCGTCGCAGTCGACCCCCCGCTCGCGGGGTCGATGAGGAAAGCAGCCAACCAATTGCGGCGTTCTTCGTCGGTGTGAAGTTGCTGGTACTGATTGTACTTGTCTGGGTGGGTGTTTTTGAGCGTCGAGTTTAAAGAGCTGAATGCCTTCTTTCTCATCGCGTGCTCCACTCCAGCGATCCCCAAGGCTGTGACCTCGCTGCCCAGCAAAGCTTTGAGCTCCTCGCATGCGCTGGGAAGCTCGTGTGCCTTTCTCTTGGGAGGCATTCTGATGAACGAAGTTTGAATAATCGCTTGTATATACTTGAGTCGGGAAATGGCTATGGAGTTCGAATCGTCGTCATTTCGTTCCTCGAGGAACGACATGACGACGATTCGAAACTGAAGCCAATGAAGATCACATATTACGACATGAAGAGCAATGCTGAAGACTCAAACGATATGGAGATTGTGATGATGAAGCAGATGGATATGATGATGGCGATGGTTGCCAGGAGGTGTGTTCCATGAGGTCCCTTGGCGACCCTGTCTCCTGCCCTGCAGGGCCAAATCTATGAAATGAGCTCGCGCGGCCGAGCCCATGCACGTGCAAGTGGAGCCACCTCCCTCCCCCGAAACTCCGCCTCCACCTCGAGCCCCCTTGACCGCCCTGAGGCCCTTCGGACCCCTGACCCGCCCGAGCTATATCTGCCGCTATATCTGTCGCTATATCTGTCGCTATATCTGTCGCCCCCCCCCGACAGACATGGGCGCTCGAAACATTCGAAAATCTATATCTGTCGCCCCCCCCCCCTGCCGGATATAATGCCGGATATGGGCCCGCCCGCGGGGGCCCCGTGCGCGCGCTGGTGCAGCGCCTCAGGACGCTGCGATCCTCTCCAGCTCCTGGAAATCATCGTAGATATCATTCGCGATGGCGGCAAGGCGGTTCATGTCGTCGCTGATGCCATCAGATCCATGCTCGGGCGGGCCCATGATAGAACCACCATCTTCGGAATCACTAACCATGACTACTGAACCTGCGTGGTAGACTTCGCATCCAATGACTTCTGGAGCATCACCTGTGTAACGATTTTGGCAGCATGCAAAATGCCAACAAGCCGCCACACGCTCGACGTCGAGAATGACCGTCTGTAAACGACCGTGCCCGACACAATGACGAAACGCAGACTTCGGAATCTCACTGGTGGAGGACTGCTGGCGAGAGGCACGATGCGTTACGACCGTCACCTTGTCGATAGTCTCCGAGAAAGTGCAATTTGAACCGCGCCTTGCAGAATACCCCAGTTGCACCCGCGAGTCCAGACCTTCTATCCCCCTCTTCTCATCTGTTGTGTGATCGGGCGAGGTGGGGGAGGAAAGTCGGAGCTGGAGTCGCGCGTGCAATTGGGGCGCCCCGCGCCTGTAGCACAGCCAATGCCCTGTCGTCTCACCAGAAGTAGGATCAGTCAAAGGGGCCCAGTGCATGCGTCGATCTTCAATGTCTGCGAATACTCCAGTGTCAACCGCCACAACCCGCCTGCAACAGAAAGGCGCGACCAAAAAATACGACTCTGGAGGCTCCAAACTCTGTCCAGCGAGGATCTCGATTTCCACATCAGCGACTCCGATTGCACCTAGCCTCTCTTGGGTGTTGGTACCCTCTGGAGACATGGGTGACCTGCATATAAAGCATGTGTCATCGCCCCTCACCAGCATCTGCGCCACACAAGCGCCGTGCAGGAAGTGGCCACAAGTGCCCATGATCCCATCAGTCGGACCATAGGTTTCCAAGCAAACGCAGCACTCCATATTGCCAAAATGGCTATGGTGATGACGATGATGGATGATGACATGGGACCTTCTTGGCATGTCTTCGGGGGCCTCTTAGAGTTTTGAAGCCTTTTGGGTGCCGTCTTGGGGCCTCTTGGAGCCTCTTATGGGTTTCTTGGGGGCCTCTTCGGGCCTCTTGGGGGCCTCTTGGGGCCTCTTGGGGCTTCATGGAAATGCTAAGTATGTGTTCCCCCCTTTCGGGGGAAAAGTTGAGAGCATTGACGAAAGCGTTTGTACTCCGTGCTGCAACTCGCCTGCAGGGGCATCGTTCTCGGATGGGCTGGTGGGGTCGTTCGAAGCGTCCAGCGTTGTCCGCCCCCTCGGGCAGGTGCACCTCGGACCAGCAAGTGAATGTGAACAGGTCTTGTCCTAGCTGCTGGCATGGGGCCTGCCAGTGGGTTAAACCACCTCATGCTGCTGAAAGTCCCCATGGAAATGCTAAGTATCCTTTCCCCCCCCCTTTCGGGGGAAACGTTGAGGGCATTAACGAACGCGTTTGTATTCCGTGCTCCTACACATCCCTGATCAGGACAACTCGCTTGCAGGGGCATCGTTCTGAATGGGCTGGTGGGGTCACTCGAAGCGTCCAGAGTTGTTCGCCCCCTCGGGCACCTCGGACCAGCAAGTGAGTGTGAACAGGTCTTGCCCTAGCTGTTGGCATGTGGGTTAAACCCCCCAATGCCGCTGAAAGTCCAAATGGAAATGCTAAGATCTTTTCCTCCCATTAGGGGAAAAGTTGAGATCATTAACGAAAACGTTTGTACTCCGTGCTCCTCCACATCCTTGATCAGGGCAACTCGCTTGCAGGGGCATCGTTCTCGGATGGGCTGGTGGGGCCATTCGAAGCGTCCAGAGTTGCCCAAGGCTGCTTGCAGCAGAAAGGTTAAAGGTAGGGTTGCAAGGAGGGGTGCGCAGAGGGGAGTGGCCTCGCCGACGCCCCGAAGGGGGCAGGGGGGCAGACTGCGGCACCCCCGCACCCCCGACCCAGGAGGAGCAGGAGCAGGACGGAGGTGAGCAGGAGCAGGAAGGATGTGTTTTTTTTCTTGTGGCACCGCCGCATCCAAGCCGTCTTAGCCAGGCGAGTTCTGCAAACCAGAAATCCTGACGGCGCGCTCCCACAGAAGCTTAACTCCTGCAGCGTCGAGCGTAGTTGGCCACCCGAGTGAAACGCCAGCCTGTTTGTTGATCTTCAGGGTTGGCTCGTCATCTGGAAGCTTGGTCACATTTGTAACGTACAACGTTCGAGACGCTTTGTCTCCTTTTGCAAGTGTGATATGTATATTCGAGCTACCCGCTCCCTCGGACATGTAAGCTACGAGCGTTTTCTTATCAACGTCGTCAGGATTGTCGATCAAGTCTTTCGCCTCTCTTGGTAGCAGGTCGTAGCCATCCTTGACAATCTGCTTGTAGGCTGGCGTCTCATCAGCTCGGTCCTTGCCCTCCTCGGACTCGTCCTGCTCCTCTTCCTCGGCTCCTTCGTGATCGTCATCATCCGCATCAGGAGCTTTCGCCATGGCAGGCTTCTTGGCGACCTTGTGGGCCGCAGGCTTCTTTTGGGTTCTTTTTTTGCCCTTCGCTGCCTTTGGGAGCTTAGGGGAATTCAAGACCGTACCATCCTCTGAGATACAACTCGATGGGACTTCCGTCTGAAATGTTTGGTCGTTGGAAAAGTGTGCCATTGCAAATCCACGCTCGCCAGGTCTGTACTTTGAAGCCGCCATTCGACTACCATCTGAAAGAATAGCGTATGCGACCATTCCATCACCAGTGTCGTTCGGCTCGATAAATTTGAAAACCATGACGGCTGTCTCAGTCGCCTCATCCTCGTCCTCGCCGTCGCTGCTCTCGGCCCGAAAAGCTGGCATCGGGTGCTTTCTTGTTCTTGTTGTCGAGGGCCGATCCCCAGCTTTGTCTGTAACAATTTCACCGTGCACTGTTTGCAGCCACTCGGGGTCTTTCGAACGGTTGGGGTCGGAACGGCCATAGTACTCTTTCCTTTTTTCTCTGATGTGGCTACACATGACGCGGACTGAGTAGGCCATCAAAGCAAACGTCTCGTTAGGCCCTGAAACATGATGACGTGAAGCGTACTCGTCAATGTCTTCCTTCCGATGGCCAAACATCTCCGCCATTGCTTTCGCCATATCTGGTTGTCCGTAATAACCTCCCCTCTTGTCAACTCCCATCAAATTTGTAAGATTATCACGGAATTCAGTAAGGTTGTCCAGATTCACTCCTGTTTTCATGTCGGTACTGCTGTACGTGGGAAGCTTCTGATCACGATCGAAACATTTGCTGAGCATCGCGACGCAGTCAGGGTGCCGAAAAATTGTTGTTCGACTTGCCATTATGTATATGATCGAGATATGAATCGCATACGACAGACCTCTCAAAGAAGCCATGGCTTGCAAGCTTCAGCCGAAAAAGGCTACGTACACTGGCAATGACGGGGGAACCGCAGAAGAGGCTTGGCAATGTAACTTCGGGCTCCGCGCTGCGCGAAGCGTAGAACGCTGTTATCCGTGCGCTCTCACACCGACCCCTCGGAGAAAGACAGCTCTGCAAACCAGGCCGCGAAGTGTGAAGCATGATTACCTTCGCGCCCCTACAGGTGGCGAGTTCGGATGAAGGGACTAGCTAACCCCACGGATTCCATAAAGGGATTTCATGAGGGGACTCTGGAGGGCTTCATAAAGGGGGCTCCCATTAAAGGGGGTGTTCCGTAAAGAAGTTCAAGGGGTGTATGCATGTCTGTATGTGTGTATAGATGTATGTATATGTGTATGTGCGTACGTATGTCTGATGTGTATATGTATGTATGTTTTTGTGGCTGCCGTTCGCTGCGCTCACAACTACCATTGCCGTTTGAAAATGCCAATGCTGTCTTCAACCAGTCCGCCAGCACATTGTTTGAACAGTGTGCAGCCCAGCTTCGTTCCGATTGCTCCCGCAAGGTTTGCAAGAAAGTGGACATGTGCTTTCCAACAATCTTCGTTTTCGCCAACCCCCTAAAAAAATAAGAGGGTTTTGGGGTATTGGAAAACCCTCTTATTTTTTAAGAGGGTTGTTCGACCTTCTTATTTTTTAAGAGGGTTCTTAAATATATAAGAGGGTTTCTTATTTTTAGGAGGGTCGGAGGGGCTGGGTAGGATCGGGATAAATCGCTCCAGAGAGTTCCGGAGCGCTCTCAGAGCGTCCCGGAACGCTCTGGAGCGGCCGCGGCGCCCAATACGTCCTCCAGACCCGCCGATTCTCAGAGATTCCGAGTTATCCCGATCCGATTTTGTCCCGATTTTCGCGTCGTTTTACAAGCCCTCCCCTGGGGGGCTCCGCCCGGCCGGCCCCGAGGGCGGGGGGGCGGGCGGGGGGCACGGGCCGGCGGCCCCGGGCGCGTCAGAACCGCTCCTGGGCGGGGCTCCCGGACGAGCCAGAAGGGCCCCGGCGTGCTCTCCCGGCGGGCTCCCGGACGAGCCAGAAGGGCTCCGATTTTGTCCCGATCTTCGCGTCGTTTTACCCACCCCCCGCTGCAGGGCGGGACGGGGCCTCCGCCCCCGCGGCCCGCGCGCTCTGCGCCGGCCGCTGCCCCGGCTCCTCGGGGCCCCCACCCCCGAGAGGAGGGCACTCCTCCTCCTCCTCCTCCTCCTCCTCCTCTCCTCCTCCTCCTCCTCCTCCTCTCCTCCTCCTCCTCCTCCCCTCCTCGTCCTCCTCCTCCTCCTCCTCCTCCTCCTCCTCCTCCTCCTCCTCCTCCTCCTCCTCCTCCGGTGGCAACTCCACGGGTGCCTCCTATCCTATACACCATCCTGTCTCCTCTTGCGAGTCGACGCCCATCGACGCCAGTCGACGCTGATCGACGCTACGTCGACGCGCGTCGTTTCATCGACTCCCAGACGCTCATCGACGCCAGCCGACGCTAAAGGCGGAATCATGAGGGCATACCAAGCGCCCATGATTTGCTGCCAAACGCCATCCTCCGGACGCGCAGTCCCTGTGCATCATCTGGCCTCCTGCGCGTGCTCTCTCGCAGGATGGCCCCCAAAAGGTTCCTCCATGGCGCCCGCCGAGAACAAGCTGCACGCGCCCGAGCGATGCTGAGGGGCACCGCTGACCAGGACTTTGAGGATCCCGCCTCGAGCGCAGGAAGAACTGAGTGGGGCAACGCAGGCCTATACGGCCAAACACATGATCAGGAAACTCATCACCCGAGAAACCTGGGCCAGCATTCTGGAAACTTCCTAAGACAAGCCTGGCCAAGATATTGTGTCAACGCTGGATGGGGCGAACGCGCTCGAGAAACCGAGCCAGCTTTCCGGCAAGTTGGCTAAGAAAGGCTGGCCCAGCTTTTCGAGAGAAAGTTTCTTAATCAAACGCTCGACAGTACGTGTCTTGGGCGCCCGAGTTATCCGGGGTAACTCGGGTCCGGGGTAACTCGGGTTTGGATTCCCGAAAAAACGAACCCGAATTAGCCCTGACCCGAGTTACCCCTGATGATTTTGGGGCTCTGGACGCCCGAATTATCCGGGGTAACTCGGGTCCGGGATAACTCGGGTTCGGAATCCGGAAAAACGAACCCGAGTTATCCCTGACCCGAGTTACCCCTGATGATTTTGGGGCTCTGGACGCCCGAATTATCCGGGGTAGCTCGGGTCCGGGATAACTCGGGTTAGGACTCCGGAAAAACGAACCCGAGTTAGCCCTGACCCGAGTTACCCCTGATGATTCTGGGGCTCTGGACGCCCGAGATATCCGGGGTAGCTCGGGTCCGGGATAACTCGGGTTCGGACTCCCGGAAAAACGAACCCGAGTTAGCCCTGACCCGAGTTACCCCCGATGATTCTGGGGCTCTGGACGCCCGAGTTATCCGGGGTATAACTCGGGTCCGGGGTAACTCGGGTTCGGAGTCCGGAAAAAACGAACCCGAGTTAGCCCTGACCCGAGTCACCCCTGATGACCCTGACCTTCCAGGAGGGCTAAAAAATAACACCCGACGTAAAAACCTATCCCAGAGCTATTTTACGTCTTGGTTTTAGGCTGTTTCGTCTCGTTTTTTAGGTTTTTAGGTTTCCAGTGCTAAAAAATAGCTCTCTGGAAGGTCAGGGGATTCGGGGCTCTGAGTGTCCGCTGCCCCAGGCCTGGCCAATCTTGGACCCCAGGGGCGAGGCAGGTGCCCCCCTGGCCATGCCAGGAGGGCGTAACACGCCGCGGCTGGGCCCAGGAGGAGCTGGGTCTGGGGCAGCGGCTCCTCCTCCCCCCTCCTCCACCTCCTCCTCCTCCTCCTCCTCTCCTCCTCCTCCTCCTCCACCTCCTCCTCCTCCTCTCCTCCTCCTCCTCCTCCTCCTCATCCTCCTCCTCCTCCTCCCCCTCCTCCTCCTCCTCCTCCTCCTCCTCCTCCTCCACCTCCTCCTCCAGCTCCTCCGCCTCCTCCTCCTCGATCTCCTCCACCTCCTCCTCCAGCTCATCCACCTCCTCCTCCTCCTCCTCCTCGATCTCCTCCACATCCTCCTCCAGCTCCTCCACCTCGATCTCCTCCACCTCCTCCTCCAGCTCCTCCACCTCCTCCTCCTCCTCCTCCTCCTCCTCCTCCTCCGCCTCCTCCACCTCCTCCTCCTTCTCTTCCTTCTCCTCTTCCTCCTCCTGGAAGAGGAGGAGGTGGAGGAGGAGGAGGAGGAGGAGGAGGAGGAGGAGGAGGTGGAGTCGGAGAAATGAAAGGAGGCGAAAGAGGAAAAAGGAAAAAAAACAACAAAAAAACATTTGGCCCCACGGCTGCATTGCCCTCGGGCGCGCCAGCGCCCCCCGTTTGCGTTAAAAAGGGCCCCGAGTTCCGCCGCCGGCTCTGCCGCCGCCTGCGCCGTCGGCCCCGCCGCTGGCTCCGCGGCGGGCGCCGCCGCGGCGGCGGGCCGGGACGAGGCCGGCGCCGCGACCGCGGCGGGGGGAGCCGCGGCGGCCGCCGGGGGGACCGCCGGGGCCTGAGGGGGGAAATCGGGGATCTTCTGACCCAGGTCAATCCAGACCCGGGTCAATCAGGCCTGCAAAATCCTGCAAGATCCTGCACCCAAACCCGGGTCAATGCGAAGGATCCTGCAGGACCCTGCAGGATCCTGCACCCAAACCCGGGTCAATGCGACCCTGGCGCTGCAGGATACTGCAAGATCCGGCGCTCTGGCTGACCCCCGTCTGCACTGACCCCCGTCTCGAGGCTCCCGAGGAAAGGCTCAGGAGCGATCTCCGGCCCCCTCGCGTCATGAGCCTGGTGTCCGGGATCCTGGCGTCGCACGTTGTCCAGATGGGGTCACACCGAGAACTTCGCACGACCTCGGGCCACGGGAACCCCCCAAATATCGATCCGGCTCGAAAAGTGCAGCAGAAAGATGGAGACCGGGGCTCTGACCGTGATTTCTCACGATCTCCAAATGTTTTCGAGTCGTCGGTGAGCTTTTTGGTAACTATTTTCTAGTTCTGGAGGCCCTCGCTGGGCCCTGGAACTGTCAAAGAACGACTCGGGCCCGACTGGGCCCGGGAATCGTCAAAGAACGATGGGGTCCTGACCTCCATGGGGTTCAACGTCACGAAAAAGTCCATAAAGTCTGAGTATGGGAAAACCGAGGGGGCAATCAGGACGAATTATGTGACACAAAGCCCCAAGATTAACGCTGGATCGTAAACAAGATGAATCTGAGCTAACGCAAGATTGCGCCCGAATCAGGCCGGCTCTCGACTAGGGAAGTGCCAACGCCGATGCCGAATGAAACCTCCCAGAGTTGCA